GGCTTTTTTCACTCAGGATAATTTCCTGGAGAGCTTTCCAAGTGGGCACATCCACCAATATGTGTTGTTTTTCATTGCTGAGTAGTGTTCCACACTGTGAAGGATTGTGTGTAACCAATCACTCGTTGAGGGACATGTGGACTGATTCCAATTTTTGCTACCATGAATAAAGCTGCTTTACACATTCATGTACAGTTTGTGTGTGTGTGGACATAACTTTCAATTTTATGGTATAATTGTCCAAGATCATATGGTATTCGCATGTGTGGTGTCTTTAGAAACTGCCAAACTGTATTCTATCAGGAGTGTATGAGTGAACCAGTTTCTACACACCCTTCCCAGCATTTGTTGTTGTCACTATTTTTTGTTGTAGCTATTCTGACATCTGTACAGTGTTGTCTCACATAGTTTAACTTGTATCTCCTTAATGGCAAATGATGGAGAACACCTTTTGTATGTGTTCATTTGCCATCTTCTTCAGAAAAGTGTTCGATATCTTTTGCTCATTTTCACGTTTGATTATTTTACTAATGAGTTTTGAATGTTCTTTATATATTCTTGGTACTAATCCTTTGTTGACCGTATGACTTACAAGTACTTCTCCCAATCTGCAGTTTGTCTTTCATTTCCTTCATGTGAATTTTCTCGGAGCAAAAGTATTTTATTTTGATGAGACCCAGTTTGTCTTTTTTTCCTCCTATGGGTTGTACTTTTGGCTGTTTGCTGGGCTCTGAATTATTTCAAAGATCTTCATTTTTCTTTCTTAACCGTCTTATAATTTTATATTTACATTCAAGTCCATGACCCATTTGAATTAATTTTAATATAAGGTATGAGGTTTAGGTTGCTGTTCATGGATGTATAATTTTTTCAGCACCATCTATGAAGCACTTTTGCACAATTGTGTAAGGTCAGTTGAGCATATTTGTGTGCACATATTTTTGCACTCTCTGATCTTTTCTGTAGATGAATATGTCTATCCCTTCAAAATACCACATTAGATTGATTACTGTAGCTACAAAAATAGACTTACCATCAGGTACGGTGATTCCTATCATTTCAGTCTGTTCTAGCTATTTTAGGGTTTGCGCTTTTCTATTTAAATTTTAGAACAGGCTTGCCTATGTCTGAAAAAACATTCTGGGATTTATCTTGGGGTAATATTACACCTATAAATCCATTTAGAAATAATGGACATCTTTCCTGTGAATCTTCCCACTTAAACACAGCCAATTTCTCCATTTATTTAAGTTGGTTTCTTTGATCAAGTTTTAAATTCTCAGTGCAGTGATCCTGTACGTGTCTGTTAACTATATCTAAGTATTTCATCACCTTTGGAGCAATTTTAAATGGCGTTATTTTAAATGGCGTTAGACATTGACTTTTGCCCATTGAACGAGCAAAAATTGTGTCTCATTGTGATGTTGGTTTCTATTGCTGTAGTTACTCGTGGAGTAAACGCTCTTCATTCATATATTGGTCATGTATATTTCCTATTCTCTGAAGGGTTCATTCATGGTTTTTCCAATCATCTTGATATTAATTGATTGTTAATATCAATTAGTTGATTAATGATATTCTTTTTCAGTTTTTAATATTTCATGTCTTCTTTCAGTTGCAGCATATCTTTTTGTTTTCTGTAAGATGTATTTTGATGGCCAACCTTTAAGATTTTAGTATCATTAAAGTTATCAATCTTTTTATTCATAGTCAATTAATTTCATATCTTGCTTAGAGTGAGATATAATTTATATCTCCAAGTAACTTATGACTTGAGCAAAGTAAATAAACAAAATATTTCTATTGGAATTCATTTTTTAAAACAGAAAATACCAGTTTCTCTATGTCTCTTTTAAATACAGAAGCTCTTCTCTTTCTAAGGTCCTTTCTACCTTATTCTCAAACAATTAATTTAAAAGTGAAACAATATCCCCAGTAGTTTTGGAAAAGAAAGAAAACTACTCTCCATTTGAGAGTAAGTTTTCCCCATAAAATATAGAGAAATGCGTTCTTGAAGCTTAGCCTGACTTCAGTTTTCCCTGGTTATGTCCAAACACCAAATTAATTTCTATCCCCTGACTTTTTTCAGTGTGGTGCAGTAAGGCTGACTCCCAAGCACAAAGCTACCATCTGGTGGCTTTGCATTTGGTGGTTAAAGAAAGGGAATTTGGTGCCAAAAAATTTAATATATAAATTCAGCCCGAGTTGTACTGTTTAGTTTCCATAATGAAGACTGGAGTATTTCGTTGGCAAATACAATTCCCCATCTGGTGAAAGCATCTAGGTATCCCATGCATATTTATGTCTGGAAAAAAAAATTAAGATTCTTGAAGCAAAATGTGTCCCGGTAGGTGCAGAGACACATATATTGAACTGCCTGTGCCAGCCATAGTGGTTCAACTTTTTTTTATTCAGGAAAACTATATTCAATTTGTTTATGAACACTTCTGTTACATCATTATGTCACTTATACTTGAAATATTGTTTTATTGTCATTTTAATGTTAAAAAACAAATAAGGGTTTCCAGGACCAGTAGGATGATAAAATGGATGCAAGAAACACACACATGCACATGCATGTATACTCATATACACGCACGCACGCACAAGAGCGTATACACACCACATATACCCACACATGCACATGTATGCACACGTGTGCACACACATGTACTCATACACCACACGCACACACGGTTCAGGATCTCCAGTCCTAATGAGGACACTGAGCAAAGTCCCCTTGCCCTGTGGCAGTGCAGACTAGAGCAGGAAGCCTGTGCTCTGGGCACACCGCAGCATTTCCAAGGATCCCTGGAACACCATGGGTGTTCCAGTGTCTTGGCTTTGTGTGGAGAGAATAACGGTGTCCTCATTAATCACAGACTCATCTGAGGCAGGCTGCTCTTTGCTGCTGTGGAGACGCTGCCACCTGCCCTCAGCATCCGGGCCACTGCAGGAAAGGGGCATCTTCCTGATGGTGGAGTGTGGGCCATGCCCCCCCAGCCATGTGCCGTCTTCCTCTGGATACTTCTCCTGAGTCCTAATTGAGCCAGTGAAAAAAGTCAATGACTGAAATGATCTTTAGGGATAGACACATGTGCAAAAAAATTGAATTTGCGGAAACTCTTGGGCCTTTCTCCAGTCATCTTCCCCAGAAGCCCTTCCTACCTGGAGAAGTCTGTGTACCTTTCCTCGATTGTGTGCACAGCCCTGACTTCCTGGTCCCACTTCCTCCTCTGCTGTCGCTTCATCCACGTTGATCAGAACCCAGAGCCGCCTTTGCCTCTGGCCGCCTTCCCAGCAGTGACTGGCGCACTCGGGTGTTGCCCTGTCCTTTCCTGGAAGGAATCTGCAGACCGGAGCCAAGGCTGGTGATTTGCACAGACACTGCTTTCTAAAATACGCAGAAGGCTGGTCTGCCAGGAGGCTGCGAACCTGCCAGTATTTTGCTAACTCTTTCCAGAACACTGATTCTACTGCCAGCCATCACCACAGATTTTTTTTCTAGCAAAATGCATTTAAGCGAAGGGATGTAAAAAGATGGCTGCTTTCATGGGACCCTTCTTGTATTCTTAGCACTAAGTTATCTGAAAGATGTTAGAATAGCTTCTCCCTGTAGATATCCTATCAGTGACACGTGCACTTTTCTGGTGTGTGGTTGCAGAAGTGAAGTTTGTCTGCGAAACTCCAGCTATTGCCGACATTGTCATCCTGGTGGATGGTTCCTGGAGCATCGGAAGATTCAACTTCAGACTGGTCCGACTTTTCCTAGAAAACCTGGTTACTGCATTCAACGTGGGCTCAGAGAAGACACGAATTGGTACCAGTCTGTTTTTAATGTCAGTCAGCTGTCCATGTAAAACTGCTGGGAAGCTTTTTAAGAAATTTCAAAAATTCTTTACAAAGTGACTTTCAGAATTACAGTGTACCTATGTTGCCAAAAGCACATGTTCGGATGAATAAATATTGACTCCTACTAATTTTTGCTATGATACTGTTGTTCAACTAATTATTGAACGCATTTCAATTTTCTGAAAAGTCAAAATATTTTCTGCTAATAATAATAAAGCTTTTCAAGTTACAGCTGGCTTAAAAATTGATTGCATAGCAGGATTTTAAAAAATTTTATTCCAAAGAAACAGCTGGATCCAGGGAAATGTGGAACTAAGAATTGAAAATAGGTTTATGGTACAGAATAATCTTTGCCAGATTAATTCTAGCCAAGATAAAAAGAAAAAAAGAGTTGTAAATCTTTGAGCAGTATACATAATAAAAATAACAAATCTTTATTATACAAACTTTCATAGTTTAACTTTGAAACAGCCATTAAGAAAAATCATTCTTTTGAGAATAAAACAACACCAAATAAATTTAGATCTTATATCTATAAACATGGCTGGCCTTTTAAAAATGAAAATGCCAAGGACCTAAGTGGCTCACGTCTAAATGGCTAGAAAATATGTACTTCCTCAACCCCGGAGAAACCCAACTTGATTCCTTTCATTGATCTTAGCAAGTCTTTTTGAAAGCCAGTCACAGGAAGAATGTTGCAAAGATTAGGCCCTTAATCACTCTAGTTTCTGGATAGTCTTCTGGTCCTTGGGTGACCCATGCTTTTTATTTTAGTTGGAGTCTCACTCTGTCACCCAGGCTGGAGTGCAGTGGCACACTCACGCTCATGGCCACCGCAGCCTCTACCTGCTGGGCTCAGGCAATCCTTCTGCCTCAGTCTTCCAAGTAGCTGGAGCTACAGGCGCACACTACCACACCCAGCTTATTTTTTGATCATTGTAGAGACGAGGTCTCACAAGTTGCCCAGGAGGGTCTCGAGCCCCTGAGCTCAGGCAGTCCTCTCACCTCAGCCTCCCAAAGTGCTAGGATGACAGGCTTGAGCCACCGCGCCTGGCCAGACCCATGATTTCTGAGGGGCTTTCTCATTTCCCCCCCAGGTCTTGCACAGTACAGTGGTGACCCCAGGATAGAATGGCACCTGAATGCCTTCAGCACAAAAGACGAGGTGATTGAAGCTGTCCGAAACCTCCCATACAAGGGAGGAAACACGCTCACAGGTATGTTTTGTTCTGTCTGTGCGGTAGCAACACACCTTGTGAAGAGTAATTGTGTTAGCACATTTGCCACCTTGTGAGACTTAGCACTGTATTTTCTAACCAAACTAGCACCTGAGATTCTTTTTCTTAAAAAAAATTTTATTTAAAGATGTGGGGAACAATTCAGGGTTAGGTATATAAACAGGCATTGCACAGGTAAAGTTTAGGCCTCAGTTTTGCCTCCACATCACCCAAACCGAGTACCCTTATTGATGAAGTGTGCCCCCCCCAGCAGTTTCCCACTACTGCCAGTCTCTTTCTTATAGTATTGTGATAATTGTTCAGGGTCCGCTTATGAGTGAGAACAAGTAGTACTCAGTTCTTTGTTTCTGTGATAGATCACTGAGTACTACAGACTCTAAATCCGTCCAAGTTGCTGTGAAGTTCATAATTTTGTCCTTCTTGATGGCTATGTAGTATTCCATTGTGTACATGTAAACACATTTGTTTAATCCAGTCTACTTTTGATGGGCAGCTCAGTCGGTTCCATATTTTTGCTATTGTGAATAGTGCTGCGATTCTTGAATGGCTCTTTTCCCAAGCTCAGCACTGAGCTAAAACCCAGATGTCTCCTTCCAGTCACTACACAACCTCCGCGTCCCAGAAAGGCGTGGCTGGGCTGGCCGGCTGAGCAGTCCCAGGGCCCTGCAGCGCACGTTCCTTCCTCCCTTCTCAGCCACCGCCAGCCTGCCATCTAAACATAGACAAACGCCCTCTTATTCTCGAGGAGGGTGTTTTCTTTGCCCTTGTTCCACAATCGTGAGTTACCGTGGAAATATTTGTAGATCTTTGGCTCGCGGTAATTTTGATAAACGGAGAGTGTAAGTATATATAAAGTATCATTGTCATGGTGCAGCTCCAGGGATTCGCACAGCTTTCAACCGTAACACATTGTAGGTTGAGCACCCCAAAGCCAAATATTCCAAGCTTTTGAGCATTTACTTAATGCTCAAAGGAAATGCTCGTCGGCCTTTCAGGTTTCAGATTTTTCAGATTTGGGATGCTCAATCGGAAAATATAATGCAGATATTATTAAATCCCCAAAATCTGAAATAGGAGACACTTCTGGCCCCAAGCATTTCAGATAAGGGAAACTCACCCTGTCTTGCCCTCCATGGGCACACCACAGATGCTTACCTTGAACATGGATGCTTTTACAGGCTGTAGATGCACCGCAAACCTTGGTTGTTGCTTTGCCAATTTGAGGCGTCATCTAGTGGAGTTTTTGTTGATGCAGCAAAAAATTATTAAACGCAAATCCTTTAGCAACATGGCAGTATTTCATATTCTTTTCTGGGTCGGAGTGCCATACTCAAAAGGCAGGAGTGCAGTTACGGTTTTAGATCTGTCTCCACTACACCCAAAAGAAAGAGGATTTTATTCTTTAGAACATCGTGAACAAAAGGGAAAGCACAATGACACTGGGACAGTCACTACTGTGGGCTGTTCTCGCTTCATCCTGACTTATAAAGGGCTAACTCTTCTTGCGCACAGGGTCTTTGAGCATCCTTTGGCCACGGATTCAATGTTCTTTATAAATGCTGGTTGCTGAAATTACATTACATTACTGGTTTATTACCGCTACTCCAGTGGATTTCAGTTGTTCCTGGACTCTCTCGAGGATAAGATTGCAAACATGAGTTCCCACATCTAGTAACAACTCTTCTAATTCAATAAGACCCACCTTACTGTTACGTTTTGGAGAATTAGAAGGTGTTTTATGAGCGGTGGTAGGTGTTTATTTTTTGTTGTTTTCTCCCAGGTCTTGCTTTGAACTACATTTTTGAAAACAGTTTTAAACCAGAAGCTGGAGCAAGGACCGGGGTATCTAAAATTGGCATTTTAATCACGGACGGAAAATCCCAAGACGACATTATCCCGCCCTCCAGGAGGCTTCGCGAGTCTGGTGTGGAGCTGTTTGCCATAGGTATGTGCTCTCTGCAGTCCTGTTTCAGCTGTGGCCATGGGCACACGACCACATAAGCATGTGGAATTTGAGGCTCACAGTGCTGAAAGCTGGAGACCTGTGTGCTGTCTAGTCCTGGTCTCGTCCTCGCCAGCCCTGTAATCTGAGCCTGGTTTCCTCGCCTTTAAAATGGGAGTAGTGCTGCCATGTCTCCCATGGTGTGACAGCACACGTGAAGTGTGGAAAGTGACGGGTGTGCGGTGGCTGGGCACGTGTGCTCCCGTTGAGTAAATCGGGCCTCCCCCCCACGTTCACTTTGCAGCTGTATCTGTTCTGGTAGTATAGGAGAACTCAATTGTTACTTTCGCTGCAGCGGCTCAAGGCACACATGTGAGACTTGCAGGATTACTTATTTGAAACCAACCCTCTAGAAGGCGTCCTTCTTCTGGAAAGGGACATATGTGGCATGCATTCAAAATCACTACAAAATATTTACACAGCACCGCTTTGCCCTTGATTGAAACATTCACATTTTCTTTGGCGGGGAGAAGGTCTGTTTAGTAGAGACCAGCAAACTTTCTCAGCAGAAAAAAAGTGTGATTCCCAAACAACACTGAAACACAAACAAAAATGCTACAGCAAATTCCTCAACAGGGCTGTGAAAACATTTAAAATGGGTTCTTATGAGCAGTTCATTTCATTATGTTTTTCATATTGAATCTGTTTGCTATCAATCTTTAGTCCAATTAAAATGCATTCATCTCCCAGCACTGATCAATAATGTGGCACAATTTTTGTGTGTGTGTGTGTGTGTGAATTGTTCATGAGATATTTCTTCCATCAGAAGAAAATACTCCCCACCACGGAGTTATATTCCCAGTTCTGCTGGGTGCCAGTATTAAAAATACATATTTCAGGGTACTGTTCTACTCCTATTAAGTGGAAATGTGTAGAGAGAAGGGACCTGGGAATCTGTATTTTAAAGCATACCAAGATCCGTACTTTGAAATCATTCTCCAGAACTGAGAACTACTGGTAAGCCCATGGGAATATCTCTTCTCTGTGTATCGGTCAGTTTCTCTCCCTTAGAGAAAGAGCCTGAAACGTTTCCCTGCTTATCTGTTCTGTTTCATCAGAGCACACTTCTGATAGGTCCTTTCTGCAGAACCTGCTTCCTACTGGCGTCTGGCCAAGGACTGTGCGGGAGCAGCTGCAGGAGCTGTAGGAGCATGCCATTCCCTTCCATCCCTTTCCTTATCGCTGCAGCGCCAAGTTCCTAGAGGCGGGGTTGTATCTCTTCATCCGCTTGTCTGATCACCAAGTGTCCAGCCAGTAGTCATTGAAGGATTAAGTGGCCTAAAAGATTTCTAGGATGACGTTATTTTTTTTTTGGAGTTGGAGTCTCACTCTGTCGCCCAGACTGGAGTGCAGTGGCCGCTCCCGGTCACCGCAACCTCGACCTGCTGGGCTCCGGCGATCCCTCCGCCTCAGCCTTCCGAGTAGTCGGAATTACAGGCATGTGCTACCACGCCCGGCTAATTTTTGATTTACAGTAGAGATGAGGTCTCGCTGCCCAGGTGGGTCTCGAACCCGCGAGCTCAGGCAATCCACTCACCTCAGCCTCCCAAAGGCGCGGGATTACAGGCCGAGCCACCAAGCCCGGCTTAGGATGACATTATTACCCTTAGCAGTAAAAATCAAAATGCTTGTGAAGGACACATGTGAGAGAGGTATATTATTATTATTGTTTCAGTGAAGTACATTATCCTGTAGCCTCAACACAGCTATTACTGCCACATTTTCCATTCAGGGAGGAAAGAACAAAAGAAATCCAGGGGAAAAGTTAAGAATGCCTCACGTTCAAGCTTTGCTTGGTAAACTGTAGCTGCCACAGGAGCCCGTGGTGTGTGTCTTCGCCCCAGTGTCATCTAGGGGACCTCCCTTGGTGATGTGAAATGAGTCACGCTGGGTGTTTATTCTGTAGACGCTGGTGAACACTGCAGACCCGGGCAGAGGGCTGACAGTTACACACACCCCACGTTTTCCATCCGTGGAATTCCAGTGGGCAGTAAACTAGATGACTTTAACTATGTGGCAAGTCCTGAAGATAAACGTGGACTTGGTCCTCGAAAAGGAGTCAGATTTGCGTGGTGTTAGTAGCTCTTGCCGCGAAATTTGGCAGTGCATCTTCCAGAGTTATCAATGAAAAATAACTCCACTGACCCATTCCTAGATTCGCTCCTCAGAATGTGGTTTACAGAGTGCTTCATTCAGGAAGCCTTTTCTTACTGACTGTGTGCTGGGCTTTGCGGGGGTGCTGGGCACGGCGGGGGGGGCAGAGCTAGAGCCTCCCCAAACCAGTCCCTTCAGAGTCGTGGCCATCGCCTCTCTTTTCTGTGCAGCTGCAGCAACTCTTCTGTTTGGAAAAGTGGGAAGAAGAAAAGACAGGGAGAGGGGAGAGAGGAGCGAGAGAGAGGGAGGGGGGAGAGGGAGAGGAGAGCGATCTGGCAATATTCTTCTCAAAATGTTCCTGTATGGGTCCAGGCTTGCAGGTTTCACCTGGATGCCACGCAAAGGCATTATTGGCATTGAGTGCCCCCTCCAGCGTGCACTCAGTGATATTGATTCAAGCGTGCATTTGAAAGCTGCTGTAGAAGCAGTCAGGCCAGAAATGTCAGAGAGATTTATTTTTTATTTTCCCATCCCTTTGTCCAAGAAAGGAAATCTCTGTGGAAGACTGAAGCCCATGGGGGATTAATTTATGTGTTTACTCTCCATTTTCTGCTCTTGTTAATGATGAATGGATGAGTCTTTAAACAAAACCTTAAGTGAATTCATCCAGATGTGATTTAGACGTCTCTGAAAATTACCTGGAAATCCGCCCCATTCGTCATCTTGCAACCTCCTCAAGCAGATTGTTCGGAGACAAGTAGCGCTTTGTTGCTTAATGTGCTGAGGCTGAAAGACGAACCCGCTGGCCCAGCCAGGTCTCTGAGAAGTCGCTCCTGGGGCCCTAGTCAGCCCTCTCTGCACCTCCTTGTCTCTCCTTGTGCCTCCGTTTAATCCCTCAGAGGGCTGAAATGCCAGGGACTGCAAAGCCATCCTCCCCGGAGCCAAGGCTTGGGGAAGAGAAGCCCCCCCTGCGCCCGTGGGACCTCGCGGAAGGGGCCTCTTTTTCTGTCCCTAACTGTGTTGGTGAATGTTGACTCGCTTTGACGCGCAGTCTTCTGAGAGGCAGGATGAAGTTGTGGAGCAACAGGCCAAACTCTCAGGAGTGGCTGTGAGGATTAATGTGTGAACACCCATAAAACACCAACCATGCCTGGGCTCGGTAGAAACACGCTTAGTCTTGGTGTCCATCGCTTTCTGTCCTGTCCTAGTCCCTGCTGCAGTCCAGATGCCCTCATGGTTCTTGGCCTGGAGAGATGGAATCAGTAGGGGTTGGGAAAGAACAAGAACTCCCTGTTTGCACGAACAAAACTACAGCGGTTACCAGACAGCAAATTGCATTTGGAGATGTTGAAAGAATGTTTTCCCAACTCTTCTCTTTGGCTTAATGCTATATAGTAATAATAATAAAATAACTTTAAATATACAAGGAGGGATCCTAATAAAACCAGAATTTATTTATAAAAAGTGTGTTTATTCTTACGTGTTTAAACTTCGGTTGCCTTCAGAATACTCTCTGTTGGATGCACTGCACCTATCAAGATGCTTTTTCCACTGCTCAAAATAGTTTTTGGACTTAGCAGTTTTGATACCTTTCTGTGCCTGATGCCATTTTGATGCCATTTTTTTGTTTCACCTCCTCCACATCAGCAAAACGTTTCTCTCTGAGGACTTTCTTCATTGGAGAAACAAGTCATTTGGGGTGAGATCAGGTGACTAGGGAGGGTGGAGCTTGAGGGTCACGCCACTTTTGGTCAAAAACTGCTGAACACTCAGTGTGGTGTGGGTAAGTGAGCTTGTAAATGACTCATCATAAAATGGGAAAGTATACTGAAAGAATGTCCCCCCCCCCCACAAAAAAATTCCCTGAAGTGGAATGCAGTCTCTCACAACAATACTAACTGGTACATTGGTACAGATGGGTTCCTAGAACACTTACTTAGTGGGGGAAGCCTGCACTACAAGGGGTCTGCCCTCCAAAAAGATAATTCTGTTGTTTTTAAGGTCCCCTCTCGATATAAGTTTTGTTCTAGGAGAATTTCTCAATTTAAATAAACTTATTTTGTAGACATTTAGGCCTGAAACTTTGAGAGTTTGGAATACTGGTTTAATTATCACTACTTCTGCAGTATTCGTGTGAGACAAAAGTTAGTTTCATCAAGTCATTTTTCTGTTAAGATGTAGTCAGTAAAAATAATGTCTCGTGGCTCAGCCTGTAATCCCGTGCTTTGGGAGACTGAGGTGAGTGGATGGCCTGAGCCCGTGGGTTCGAGACCCACCTGGGCAACTTGGCAAGACCTCGTCTCTACAATCAATCAAAAACTAGCCGGGCGTGGTAGCGCCTGTAGTTCCAGCTACTAGGAAGGCTGAGGCGGATGGATCGCGGAGCCCGGCAAGTCGAGGCTGCGATGGCTGGGAGTGGCCACTGCACTCCAGTCTGGGTGACAGAGGGAGACTCCAACTCAAAAATGAAATAAAATTAAAAAAAATAAAAAATAAAAATGATTCTGAAGCTGGCTTTTAAAAAACAATCTGACACAAAATGTTCCACTTTAAAGCACTGGGCGCTTTTGACCAGATTCAAGACTGCAGATCTGCCAGAAGTGGGGAGGGCACCCCTGAGATGGGTCCCAGGGCCTTCATCAGGACACAGGCATGTAAGAGGGCGGACCACTCCAAGATGGGGCCCTGGTGCCTTTTTCAGGACACAAGCCCATAGAGAGAGGGCCACCCCTGAGACAGGGTCCCTGTGCTATTAATTGGGACACAGACATGTAACCTTTGTCCATGACTTACATTCTTGCTGTTCCCTTTTCTTGCTTATTTTCTTTCTACAGGCATAATTTGCTAGA